ACACACTCACAAAAAATTTCTCTTTAATTTTTCAAGAATTTTATAATATACATTGTGCATATTCTAAACATACATAATTTTCAGTCCTAGGAAACAAATTGAAAATTTACCTTTTGAAGATAAAAAAATATGATAATTAAATCACTGCAGTGAGGTCAAAAACCCTTAATTTAACATAAAATTTGAATTTCCTATACTATAAAGAATACATGTTTACCAAAAGTGCATATCGAATTTGAGCCGAATCTGAGTGAAAAGCGTTGTAACTTTTTGGGTCACTTTGCACAACAGAAATTATTATTCTCAAAAATGGGACACATGTTAATGATCCAGACCAACATCAAAATGTACACAAATCTTGGAAAAAATATTTCCAGTCCTGTCATGTAAAAAAAAATCCTTAGTCCCTTTAAAACGCTGAACTTTAGGTATGCATTGGACAATAATAGTAACATGCAGTATCTTCTGTTTAAATTTCAACAAAAAAAATGGTTAAAAAATGAAACTGTAGATTTTCTTAATAATTGAAACCTGCCATCTAAAACTAAATTCTAATAAACACAGTGTTGATTAAGGGAGAACACAATTTTCAAATATTAAATCTTTTGAAACTTTATGTTATGTTATGTTATGTTATGTTATAGTAAGGTAAAAAAACACACTTATTTGACCTTTTCCCTATGCAAAAAGCCTTATTCAAAATATTCCTAAAGTAACCAAAATGAGGGGCTGTTTTCAAAGTTTGCCTAAATTTTCTTAAATGTATATTGGCAGGTCTTGCAAAATACAAAATACTTTAACCGTGTAGTTTATATTTTATTAAACTTTGAGAATAACTGGTATCATATTTGCCATTAAATTTGGCATTTTTAGCAAATAAATATCTACAATAATTATAAAATTAAAATCAAACAAACTCTTTTTCCTGCTATAAGGGATCTGACAGATACATAAATAAGTTAAAAAGAAAGAAAATAAAGAAAAAAGTTGCCCCTTCTGGGCTTTGAACCCACGCCATACACTTGTCACGACTCGGCCCGGTGAATTTTCGTACTTTTTGTTCTATAGTAAATCAGTCAAATTTGAGACTTAAATTAATTCTGGATTCCACTGTTCTTGATGAATTATATACTGTCCCAACTTTAAACATTAACACTATCGAAGTCCAATGAGGCCCACAATATAATAGGTTAGCCATCTAATATTTTCAGAAATCTTCATTCTGTTGTAACACTGTTTAAATTCACCACTTTAAAACTCCTGACATCTTTAATCCTTCCACCAACAAATGAGTTCCTGGAGAATACACAAAAAAAACCAACTTTGAAAGTCATCATATAACACACACAAACTACACACATGCAATAAATACACTTTAATTATGACCAATCTAACTAGAGATGACTTAAATTGGGCCATTTCAAAATTTTAAAGAACTACAGCTTTCTAGTCTACAATGGGTTCAGTCTAATTCCGTACCGGGTTGAGACCGTCAGTGATTCTAGCCTATTTTTATACTCTTCAAAGTGGAGATAGTGCAACTACTCGGCCCTTTCCGTCAGTCTTCGGATAAGAACCTCGAAATACACAGAACGGATGCGGTATTTCGGTCTAACCTACGCTAAGAAACTTGACATGTAAACAAATAGCAATTTAATACTGGTTTATTTCCAATATATATAGTAAAAGTCCACCAAAAATAAGTGAATTCATAGTTCCAAAAGCAAACAATACATCATTTATATACAGTAAAAACCCTCAATTAAGACCACCATCGGGACTGGAACAAAGTGGTCTTAATTGCGGGGTGGTCTTAATTGTGAGTATTCTTATTGTTTATACACTTTACGACCATGTTCTATTTTAGTCATTTTGTGTGAATAAACAATATGTATCCAAACCTACAAATATTACATAAAGTATGATATAAGTTACATCTGATGGGAAGAAAACATTTCGGAAGCAATTTAATATCAAATTCTATTTGATCTGATTTCAATATTAAATATTATATGGTGTATATAATACACCCATCAAATAAGAAATAAATTTATAGCAAAATCAATGTGCTTAAAGCAACATTAAACCACTCTAAAATCCACCTTCTCACCTTATTTCATACAATATCCCAACAATGAATGGTGTTTTTGACACCTCGTGAAATGAAGTGTTATGCCTAAGAGCATTTAAGCAGAAAATAACAACATAACAACAAATTAAAGATCTAGGCAGGTGTTGACTTTAAATCTGTGGTCTCAATAGTGGGGTCAAATAAAGAACAAAATAGAGAATTGGGACTGAATCTGGTGGTCTTAAAACTGGATAAGCGAGGTAGTCTTAATTCTGGATCATGTAACCATTGACATAAAGAACAGAAAATTCCGTTCTTTTTTAAAAAAATGGTCTTAACAGCGGGGTGGTCTTAATTCCGGGGTGGTCTTAAGGAGGGATTCTACTGTATTTATTATTATGGTTGTAGAAACCGAAAGTACAAAAAACCAACCTGTTGACATTTAGTCGGATTTGTTTAAACATCAGTGGGCATATTTAAATTACAAATTGTTGTCAGACATATTTTCAAGCAAAAGAGTACCGGAACAGACATTAAATGTCATATATATATAAACATATGTTTTACATCATCTCTGTTTCTGTTTAAATCTGAAACCACGTGGTAGAACTACTTTCAATCCGTATTGTTTCCGAGGTTATTATAGATAATAGCCGAGGCAGTTCCGAATGTAAAGGTGTACTACCTTAAACAGAACTTAAATATCAAATCAATTTCACTACAAAGTTGAAGAAATATCCTGCACATTTTATTTTAGAACTATCTTTTACATTAAATATGTATAATGGCAAGAATCATCCTTTACATTCAATGTAAGAACTAGCCTTAAAATTTTAATTTAAAATAGTTAGAATTATCCTTGCCATTTTGTTTTTGAATGACTAATGAGATTCCCAGAATTCAGATAGTAATTTTAAAATGACTAATGAAAAGTATTCTTATATTCAGTTCTACCCTATTAATTTTACAGGAAAACAAAATGATTTTAGACGGACTTCGTCCGAAAAACAGCAAAGTAGATATGAATGCAAGAGATCCGTCAAATTTGATTCTTGATAAAAAAAAAATATTTTTATTAATAATTTAATCGAACGATTTTTGTAACAGGATGTGTTACTAAAGATGACTGCCCTGACAGCTACTGGACTCACAGTCATCATTGCAATAAGGATCAACGTCACTGTGTAGACACAAAATGTGCGTGCGGCCACTTTTAACAAAAGGTAAATAAAGTATAAAATAAAAAAAAAAAAAAAAAAAAAAAAAAAAAAAAAAACAACGGAAGCAAAATATAAATTCAAATAACTGGCTAACAAGTAACATTTTTACTATTGACAGAACAGCAAATATATGAAAGCTATTAAGAAATAAAAATCAAAGCATTTCTGGGGCATCATGGGCCTTTAACATATCACTGCAGGTCTATTTTTTGTAACATGCTTTCATTTATCATCAAGGGCTTTAATTTTAGCCAAAGGAATGAAAATAAAAATTATGAAGGAAAGTGTTCATATTTTATCCTCCCTCAAATATGTAAACATTAATTCTCAATGTTAATTTTATTAAACACTTATTTCTTTATATTATATAAACATTACCGATATAGGTACATAAATATCACTATAATTGTTGGTTTTCTTTTATTATTTTTCTTTCTGAAAGATGCATTATTTGAATCCTCATTTATGCAAGATGTGTAAAACATTAAAACATTTGCATTCCTGTTCAAATAATTAAGCCACAAATATTTGATCATTTTAACACAGAGTTCTCCAAATGAGTAGAATAAATAAATATATAAAGTATAACAGGAAATTTAAGATTGAGCATGCTGTAACAGAGGCTATGGTCCAATCAACATTTGTGCCATTGGAGCATATTATCGCATTTTTCATAGTTTCATAGCAGTTTGAACTTGTAACAGGAGGCTTTTCAATGAAAATGGCCATTTTTCACAATATACTCATGAGGTAAAGGGTAAAAAAAGTTCTTAGTGTTTCATATACAATATAAATCAAGACGATTGTTCAAAATATGACAAAATTTACAATATTTATCAACAACTTTCAAATCCATTTATAACGGAGTTACAGAAATTGCTGCAAAATTCAGTTATTTGCTGTTGTTAATAGATGTCGTCGGTTATGTTAAATCCCTTGATTTGTTTTCAGTTTTCATAAAAAAAACACCATAAACCTGTAGGGTAGCTGCTTTAAGGGGATATTCAGGCAAAATGACAAAAATAGTAAAATGATACCATGTTATCAAATCACGCCAACATGACATTTCTTAAAGTCCCAACACTAATTTCTGTTTAAATTCTATATATTTTGGGTTTGAAAAGTAAATATGTCTGTATATGTTGAACAAAATTTAGACGCCAAAAGAATCACCGAATAGTTTTAAAACAAGTCATGTCACTTGAATAAACCCTTGAAGTTACAATAACAGATATTGTGGATATTGTATAATTGAAACAAGTCAAAGCCATTCATTTGACATGTTCTTTAACGTTTCCAGGGTTCACTGTGACAACTATTGTGAACTCTTAGCGCTGTAACCTGACCCACGCGGGACAAGTTAGGAAACCACCATTTATCCTTTGTACGGAGAAACATTTTGTTCCTTTGACTGTTCATTTTGATGGCATTTACAGAATAATGAATGAAAAATTCAAAACTAAGAAAAAAAAAATTTGCCTTGTCTCCCTTTAACATGTTTAAAAGAAACATTTTTTTACATATATTGATATAATGAAGCACTTATGAAGTTTTCTTATGAATGTTTTTGGGTTTTTTCTTTTGCAGGAGCGGAGCAGTGCCACACTCTCTGATCTGTGTTAATTTTGTAATAAATGAATCTTGAATCATATAGGTTGTCGTTTTCTTGTACTGAACATCAGCATCACAAGAGTTAAAGTGACATATTATGCTCATATTCATAGTCAGGTGGAGATGAATTGACTTTAAATTTCAAAAGATTGACTGTTTGAATGATGTTTGACCATCTGTTTATATTGGAAAATGTTTAGGGTAATATTTAAAATTTTGCTAAAACATAAAAAAAGACTGCCCCACTCTTTTTTATAAATTGAACGTTACAAGTAAATTCTAAATCATATTTACAGAAATTTCGTTTGGATCAGGCCGCTATATATCATTTATTTTAAGTAAATGATTAAGTCCAAAGGAATTATGGCAAAATGAAAATTTATTTTGACTCTCACCTGTTCACTCACTATGTACCATTAGATGGGCAAACTGTCACTTTAAAAATCTTTTTAAAGGCCCATTAAGCCGAAGTAATGCCATTGTTTATTTATTTATTTATTTTATTATATTATTTATTTTAATATTCATTTCATTTATTTTATTTATTTAATTTATTTTAATTAAATAATTTATTTATTTATTCATTTATTTATAATTTATTATTTATTTATTTGAATATTTATTGTTGTAGAAACAAAAACTGATGTCGTATAGCAAAACATGAATATGTCATCTTGTATTGGCAAGCCAAAGAACCTTAACTTCCCATGGGTCAATCATTAATAAAAACGTATGTGAGAAGTTAGCAGTTAACAGTGAGCTTAGCAAAAAGGCATTTTAATGATCTGCTGTAATGCTCAGCTGTTTTGGGCATCTAGCAGGGCATTCCTAAATATAGTGTAAAAATGCTCTGCTGCAATACTCAGCTGTATTGGCAATCTTGCAGAGCATTCCTAGCTTAATTGAAAAAATGCTCTGCTGGAATGCTAAGCTGGCTAGGCAATCTGGCAGGGCATTACTAAATATAGTGTAAAAATGCCCTGCTGGAATGCTAAGCTGGCTAGGCAATCTAGCAGGGCATTCCAAAATATAGTGTTAAAATGCTCTGCTGGAATGCTAAGCTGGCTAGGCAATCTAGCAGGGCATTACTAAATGCTCTGGTGGAAGGCTAAGCTGGCTAGACAATCTAGCAGGGCATTCCTAAATATAGTGAAAAAAATGCTCTGCTGGAATGCTAAGCTGGTTAGGCAATCTAGCAGGGCATTACTAAATATAGGGTAAAAATGCTCTGTTGGAATTCTAAGCTGGCTAGGCAATCTAGCAGGGCATTACTAAAAATAGTGTAAAAATGCTCTGGTGGAAGGCTAAGCTGGCTAGGCAATCTAGCAGGGCATTACTAAATATAGTGAAAACATGTTCTGCTGGAATGCTAAGCTGGCTAGGCAATCTAGCAGAGCATTACTAAATAAAGTGTAAAATTGCTCTGCTGGAATGCTAAGCTGGCTAGGCAATCTAGCAGGGCATTCCTAAATAAAGTGTAAATTTGCTCTGTTGCAATACTCAGCTGTCTTGGCAATCTAGCAGAGCATTACTAAATTTAGTGTAAAAATGCTCTGCTGGAATGCTAAGCTGTTTAGGCAACCTAGCAGAACATTCTGAAAAATAGTGTGAAAATGCTTTGTTGGATAAAATATTGCGATGCATTCTGAATATTAATAAGCTCTGCTGGCAGACTGATTCTGAGTTCCAGGATTTATTGTTGCCAACGTTTTATTGACATTTTCGACTTCTAGGCACTTCTGAGGCGCTCGCAGACTTTCAGGAATTTTTGGTGCCAATAGAAATAATGATATTGTTGACTTCTAAGGACCTTTAAGAGAAATTTCATTGTCCTGCGACTTTTTGATGGACACTTACAGACTTTCAGGAATTTTTTAGCCAATGCTGATAGTGACAATTTAGACTTCTTGGGACCCTCAAGAGTCCATTTTGTTGGTCTGCGACGATTCTTGGACACTCGCAGAATTTCAGAAATGGTTGGTGCCAATGGAAATAATCATATTTTTGACTTCTGGGGACCTTTAAGTGTCCATTTCATTGGCCTGCTTGCAGACTTTCAGGAAAGTTTGGTGCCAATAGAGATGATGGCAATTTTTACTTCTAGGGACCCGCCAGAGTCTATTTTTATGGTCTGCGACTGATTCTGGGACATTCGCTGACTTTCAGGAATCTGTGGTGCCAATGGAGATAATGACATTTTTGACTTCTAACGACCCACCAGAGTTCATTTCGCTGGTCTGCGACTGATTTTGGGACACTTGCAGACTTTCAGAAATGTTGATGCCAATGAAGATAATGACATTCCTGACTTCTAGGGAACCGCCAGAGTACATTTCTTGGGTGTGAGACTGATTCTTTGAGACTCGCAGACTTTCAGGAAAGTTTGGTGCCAATAGAGATGATGGCAATATTTAATTCAAAGGACCCGCCAGAGTCCATTTTTATGGTCTGCGACTGGTTCTGGGACATTCGCAGACTTTCAGGAATCTGTGGTGGCTATGGAGATAATGACATTTTTGACTTCTAGCGACCCACCAGAGTTCATTTCGCTCGTCTGTGACTGATTTTTGGACACTTGCAGACTTTCAGGAATTTTGATGCCAATGGAGATAATGACATTTCTGACTTCTAGTGAACCGCCAGAGTACATTTCTTGGGTCTGCGATTGATTCTTTGAGCCTCGCAGTCTTTCAGGATGTTTAGTGCCATTGCAGATCATGACATTTTTTACTTTTAAGGACCCCTTAGTTATAAGCAGAGCATTTTTACTCTAAAATGTCATTATCTGCATTAGCATCAAAAATTCCTGACAGTCTGCAAGTGCCCTATAATCAGTCGCAGACCATGGAAATTGACTCTGGATGGTCAAAAATGTCAAAATTGTAATTTTCTCTATTGGCACCAAACTTTCCTGAAAGTCTGTGACTGTGCATGAATAAGTCGCAGACCAAAACATGGACCCTGGATGGTCCCTAGAAGTAAAAAATGTTATTATCTGCTTGACATCAAAAATTCCTGAAAGTCTAGGTTTGCCTAGCCAGCTGAGCATTTTAACACTATATTTAGGAATGCCCTTCTAGATTGCCTAGCCAGCTGTATAATATAGCAGAGCAATTTTACACTATATTTTGGATTGCCCCGCTAGATTGCTTAGCCAGCTGAGCATAACAGCTAAGCATTTTTACACTCACTATATTTAGGAATGCCCTGCTAGATTGCCAAGCCAGCTGAGCATACCAACAGATCATTTTGTACAATATTTTGGAATTCCCCGCTTGATTGCTTAGCCAGCTGAGCATAACAGCAGAACATTTTTGCACTATATTTTAGAATGTCCCGCTAGATTGCTTAGCCAGCTGAGCATACCAGCAAAGCATTAATTTTTTACACTTTATTTTGGAATGCACTGCTAGATTGCCTACCCAGCTGAGCATAACAGCAGATCATTGATTTCCCTATATAAATCATAATGCCTTTTTGCTTAGCTCACTGTTAACTGCTAACTTCTCACATACAATAAAAACCTACTTGTCAAAGGCAAGGTTGTCTAAATAATTCATTAACATTGGCATCAACAATTACATTACAATTAAGATTAATACACAGAAAATATAAAGAGTACATTCAAGTTTTTTTTCTATAAATACAGAATTTATTTTCATCGAATGGTATGAAAATAAATAGTTTAATGAGTGGCGTCAGGCACGAGTGAAATATGATAATTTTCAAAACACTAGGTGAAAATAAATCCTGTATTTATAGCAAAAAAAATATTGAATTTACACTTTATTAAATGCATTTTTCTCTTTTTTGACATTACAATTTGAAAGTATTCCCTTTTAATTTGTGTTATGACACTGAATTAAGAAAAAAGTAGTCCGGCATGACATTAATGAAAATACGGAAAATATGTTTCACTGCAGTGAACATAATATACATGTATAAGAGTAAAATAAGAAAAAAAAAAAAAAAAAAAAAAATCATCAATATTTCTCAATATTTTATTTACAAGTATATTATCAATATTTATCCCCCACCCCCTCATCAAAGCCTCACATAGTGAAAAAATGTCCTGTTTGTGCGCCAAACACATGTTTTCATTTGAGAAATGTTGTTAAAAAAGTAACCACTTTTTCGGCGCTGCACCCCAACCAAAAATACATCAGGGGGTTGCCAGAAGGGGGATGTATGGGTTTGAAGAGAGCGGTAGTCCCCCTCATCGCCAGAAAAATTTTGGACTTGTGAGAGGCTAAAAATGACCCCAGATCGATCATAACGTATCGTGTAACCAACGCTGATAAGCATTTGACTCTATCTCAATCCATTGAGAAGTTGCAGCACTTTGAAATCAATTTTGATGGAAAAAAATCAAGGCAAAATAGTGGGTTTTTTTTGGCAATTTTGAGATGTCCCCTCGTTGCCATGGTAAAAGCAATTTAAGTCTAAGCATGTTGTAAGTCCAGTCAACATTTGTGCCAAGTTTGATTTGTATTGAAGCAGTTTTTATAGTTTTATAGCAATTTGAACTTGCAACGGGAGACATTTCAATGAAAACAACCATTTTATGAAGTAATGGGTTAGTTGCAATATTTTTGAATAAATGAATAAGCAAAACAAGACATCAAATCAATGCAGACTTGTCCAAGTTATTCACTAGCAAAGAAAGAGTTGTCTTAATTATTCAGCAGTAAAGGCATAGTTGTTTAAATCATTGGACATGAAATGTACGGTTATCTAAATTATTCATCAGCTAGTGTGTAATTTACGGTGTTCCGTTTGGACAATCGTGATCTGTACCCGCAATGAACGATGGTAGGATGGTGAAAACGCGATGACACAGTGGTGAAAACACGACAGTACGATGGTGAAAACGCGATGGCACGATGGTGAAAGCACGACAGTACGATGGTGAAAACGCGATGGCACGATGGTGAAAGCACGACAGTACGATGGTGAAAACGCGATGGCACGATGGTGAAAGCACGACAGTACCATGGTGAAAACGCGATGGTATGATAGTGAAAGCACGACAGTACAATGGTGAAAACGCGATGACACGATGGAGAAAGCACGACAGTACGATGGTGAAAACGCGATGGTATGATAGTGAAAGCACTATGACACGATAGAAAAAACGCGATGGTACGATTGTCAAAACGTTATGGCGCGATGGTACGATGGTGAATTAAAAAAAAAGCGATTTTTAAACATCCTTTTTCCCATCGAAACCATCGAAAACATTCGCGTTTTTCTAAATTTCGTTTCCCTTTCGTTTTTCCCCATCTTTAACCGTCGTTTTTTCCCCATCGTCCCGGGTCGTTGTTTTCACCTCGAAACCTTTCGTGCTTTGTTTGACGGGTTAAATCACGTACCCCTTACCTTTAAACGTTTGGGAATCCTGTGGGGGAATTTTAATTTTCCCCCCCCCCAAAAAAAGAGTAAATTTATTCATCGGCAGAAGCTATCCAGCTAGCTTACAGAGTTTATGGGTTTCTTTTTGTGAAATTTTGGTGCTTTTAAATACTAAAAGGGGGGGGGCCCCGGCGAAAATTTAAAGGGAATTCAATTAAAAAAAGTAAAATGAAAAAGTTTTTAAATAAAACCCCAAAAACCCTTTTCCCAGTACCGAGTTAAAAAAAGAAGAAAAGAAAATTGGCAAATAAAATTATAATTCATTAAAAAGTTTCTTATCTCTGTCTAGGACCTATTTTCTTACATATCTGACAAAGCCTTACCCTTCGTGACCGTTTAGTCATGTACGAAATCTAGATGCCAAACAGTTCCATATCTCGACACAAAATAATCACGATTCTCGCATCATGATTTCATAATTCAATCTTCTTATCGCTCCGACTTATATTAATCAAACGCCAGAGACATATATTTTCACATTTCTTTCTGACTTGAGAGCAAAGCACCATGAAAATTGTAATACTGTTGGTTTGTCTGGCAGGTCAGTACTTTTGATTGTCATTATATTTTGTTGTAACTCTTACCTTTTTACTTATTTTCAATAATTGTTAAAATACGCCATCGTCATCGCAATTTTTTAAAATGTTATATGATTGTTTAAGCAAATATTCTTTTGGAAAGGAAGACAGATATTTTCATTTATAACTTTCATTATCATTTTTTTGCTTGAAAGACAGAAAACAAAGTAACAACTGATGAAGCTGAGTAGAGCACCTGTTAATTGTATTTAAAAATTCAAGTGATTAACGTGCATTTTTTTAGGAATTGCGGTTGCGGAACGAATGTGATGGTGTTGACACTACCCAGTGTGCGTACGAAGGTGTGTGCTGTAGGCAAATGTCCCAACTTGCAATCTGGAATTTGTACATGTAGCCCCAACACCGGGGACAAAACTGGTAAGTTGCTTTCAATATTGATATGTGTGTGAATTATATAGAACGAATTTTCATCCTATTGGTCAAACATTGATATGATATTAATACAAGAAATCGGAACATAAAAAATTTATTAGTTTATATTTATTTTATTTCGAATGTGTATGGAGCTATAAGCTTATAGACACACTTGAATTCGTTCATTGAATCAACCAATGTGTGTCGGGTGAACGGCGTATGGCCCCTGACTTGGTTTTTGAACCACGCGGTCAGTTTGGAAATAAAACCGGTCTCGGTTATTTAACACCTATTAGGAGTTTTTGATGGCGTAGAAATTGACCACAAAAACAGTAGTATTTTCTTTTTTTTTGCATCAAGACAACAAAAACCGGTGTAAGTGTCCGATAAACACCGCTCAGACCGATATTATTTCGGTTCTAACATGACAAAATGAGGGAGACCACTAACGCCATTTTTTTCAAGCGGAGATAGTTGACAAAATGTTTTATCACCTTAACAAAAAGGTCATAATATGTGAAAAAAAACAAACAAAAAAAAAAAAAACACGGCCCGTTCTAACAGTTAAGAAACTATCACGCAAACAGAGTTTGTTGGAGATGCAGACAGTTTTAATATCATAGCAAACTGAAATCCACGGAGTGCAATTTATAATTTACCATTTAAAAATAAAACAAAAATGTAACTTTTCCCTCATAACTACTGTTACACACTACTGACTATAAAACGTGTATAAATTTCATATATTTTCTTAATTTTAGGTTGCGCTACCCTTGCCGACTGTGACCAGTACTGGTTCTCTCATCACTGTGGCAAACCACACAAACAGTGTATGAATGGTCACTGTACATGCACGCATGGTCATGGACGCTGATAGGTTCGAGTTCTCTTTTTTATCATAATTTAAAACGCACCTTTATCCTATTCACCTTTCCTTTATTCATTAACCAAATACATAATGAGCCGCGTCACGACAAAACCAACACAATGGGTTTGCGACCAGCATGGATCCTGACCAGCCTGCGCATCCGCGCAGTCTGATCAGGATCCATGTTGTTTGCTCTCAGTTTTTCTACTTGTTATAGGCTTGGTAAGCGAACAACATGGATCCTGATCAGACTGCGCGGGTGCGCAGGCTGGTCTGGATCCATGCTGGTCGCAAACCCACTATGTTGGTTTTGTCGTGACGCGGCTCATATAAATCAATTATCACTTATTGATTCCCTTATCCCTTATTGATGTCATTATTCATTCTTTTCATGTGATTATCACCTATTCATTCCATTAATCCTTATTCATTCTGTAACCCCTACTTTATACCACTGTCCCTTATTATCGTTCAAGTATCCCTTTTTTGTTTCATTATCCCTTATTCTTTACATTTTATTTTATTAATTCCATTTCTCCCATTCTGGATTAATCATATCAATTTCACTTATACACTCCATTATCCCATTATTCATTCATTTTTCTATTATATATTATTAAAATCACTGTCTCTTTCATCAAGTACAGTCTTGTCAATCAATAAAATATTTTGGTTCAGGGAGTTATTCCAGGCCAGTCTCTTTAAGGTCAATGAAAAAAATTATGGACAGTCTAAGGCATATTGAACAGAATTCAAATGACGAACTTTAAGAGACCGATCAACGGGTAAAAGCAATGATTTATCAAAGCAATATGAATATTTAGAAGGGGTGATAAAAAGTCTAATATATGTATTTAATTTTTTGTCTTTCAGATTTGACCATTGATGAATTTCATGACATTAATATCGTGGCTGCCTAAACAAATCTTTGTAATTTTGTTAGTATATTTAGTATTATGAAAACAGATAAATAAATGTTATAAAAATAGTAAAGGTTTTTGTATTTATTTTTTCATCTCCTGAACAATATGGAAAATAGGAGTTTTATCAGTATATCGGGTCGATCGGTCTATACAAACAAGCAACCTTTGAATTTTGGGTAAATACAAGATGCAATTGTTACTTAAGATGATATCGAGAAAAGACTTACTTATTTTTAGTAGGTCGCCCCTACTTTGATAACATGTGACTATTCACGTGGTACAAAGATGATTAGGATTCGAGACTTACGCCTGTTACAACGCCGCCATCCTTGACACGTTCAATACAACTTTACGCTACCCACCCCCGTTCACCGCTTGGGCGTATAATTCTTCCATGTGAGTTGACCAAAGCGCTGGAAGGTCCATATAGCGTTAAACAGTCTTTGTGCAAAGCATTTGCATCCTATCGCAGTAAAGTTCGTGCATGTCAGGGTATATCAAGTTGCTTTATAAGGGAAGGGCTATGACTAAGAAAAAAATGTTATGATTTAACTATGGACTAGCCCATTCTCTAATATCTTGAAGCATCAAGACAAATCAGTATGGAACGTCGAAAATCAAACCTTGTCAACAAATTCTCCTAACTGCTCACACTCCGATCATTATCGCCTAAAATTAATGACTCGCCACTTTTCCGGCCATTTCCGGATAAAAACGTCGAACTGGTTAGCATCTTATAAGATAATTATAATGGTTTATTAGCCTTCTATAGAAAGAAAATGTTGTGTTTTTGAGTAAAACTGTGTTTTCATAAATTGTCATTTACTAGTACTTGGGTAAGTTTGCAAAGTTTGTCATACCTATTCAATATTGTTGAAAGTTTGGTGTGTAAATACCTAAACTTGTCTCAAGTATGTATTTATTTTGAAAAAAAATATAAAAAAATGAAACCACCTTTTGTAAAAAGAAGCACATATTTCCATAGAAACATGGTTCTTAGTACCCGGGTCATTAAAAAAATATATAAAGTTCTAAAATAGATTGTCAGTTAAATAAAACTTTAAGCAATCAGAAAGGTACCAACACGACAGCTTGCAGAATGAAGTTATAATAATGACACTTCCGGTTAATTTCACGTCAGATACAGCATTTGAACGGAAACACCACCATATTGTTTCCTATAGTCTAAAATAATTGTTGAAAAAAATGACGTCGATCGGCCTATTGCTAAGCGGTTAAACTCCAAAAGAAACTTTGAAGATAATAAGAAAATGGGACATAGAGCCAATTTAACACAGCTAGATATAAAACTTGTGTTGTCTGAATCTATATTTTGCGAACCGCAAATTATAAACAACGGAAGCTCCGCCCAAACGGAACGCGAATTTACATTAAATTCATACATTGTGACTCAAATAAAAACACTACATGTGAATTTGAATTTATGGTATTTTAAACCGAAGACTAGTACATAGAATATTTCACATGTACATGTACTATAAAGACAAGTAATATTCCCGTGTCTGACAAGGTAAGCCTGGTTATTAAATCAAAATATAAAATAAATGACATTCTTTTTGTCGACCCAAGAGAATATGAATGACAAATAAATGCATATGACGCACATGGACGCACATACAAGACGGAAATGGACACTCACGTACACATGAACTTACACAGGACATAAATAGGCACGAGAAAAAGAAGCGCATGGACGCACGAACAAGACACAAATGGCTGCGAGAACAAGATGCACATAAACGCACGTACACAAGACGTACAAAAGACGCACATGGACGCGCAAACAAGTAGCACGTGAACGCACGTACACAAGACGCACAAACAAGATGAACGTGAACGCACGTACACAAGACGCACATAGACGTACGTGAACGCACGTACACATAACACATTGTCGCGCGAACAAGACGCACATTGACGCAGGTACAAGACGCATATAGATGCACGTATAGAAACTATTGTAATAATTTGTTACATGTTTGCATGGCACAGATAGAACTTCATTTCACCCTTTATTAAATATAACCACAGGAATCAATAATCGCTCAAAGTCCGATTTAAAAAAAATCCATACCTATATATAAATAAAAACAAGATTGCATTTGAGAAAAATGCTATGCCACCGCATGGTTCAAATTTCATAGCTGTACATCAAAGGACAATAAAGTAAGTCACATCATCAAAATTTAGGTCAAAGTTCAATTTTTAAACTTTTTACAACTAAAACTGTGCACATGGTCAAAATGTCATTGCTGTACATCAAAGGACAAGAAAGTAGGTCACTGTCCCCTTGGGCAAGGCATAATTTTGACCCAAGGGTTTAATTACAATCTTGATACAGGTCCACAAACAACATTTCAAGTCAAATATCTAAGCTATAGCTTTCTCCCATTCAGAAAACATTTGTTTTATTTTCTGTTTTTACTACGTGTACATAATGAGAATCACTGCCCCCGGGCAGGGCCAATTTTTGACATTTGAACAAGTTTGGTAGAGGACCTATAGATGATATTATCAAACATCAAAGCTCTATGCCTTGAACCTTCAGACAAATTTTTTTTTCACTATATGTACATAATGAAAATCAATGACCCCCGGGGCGGAACCAATTTTGACCCCAGGGCTATAATTTGAACAATCTTGCTAGAGGTTCACTACAAAATGTTTCATGCAAAATATCTTTACTTTATCCTTTGTAAATTTAGAGAAGATGATTTTTTAAGTTTTAACTATATACATATAGGATAAACCTATGGCTCCCAGGGGCGGGGCTTATTTTGACACAAGATTCAAAATTTGAACAACTTTGGTAGAGTACCTTTAGATGATATTATTTAACAAATATTAAAGCTCTAAGCCTTTTACCTTTAAACAATAAGATTTTTTGATTTTTACTATATGTATAATTGAAATCAATGACCCCCAGGGCGGGGACAATTTTGACCCCAGGGCTATAATTTGAACAATCTTGCTAGAGTTTTACAACACAATGTTTCATGCAAAATATCTAACCTTTAGCATTTGTCAATTGCTAGAAGATTTTTTTTTAAGTTTTTACTATATACATATAAGGAAAACCAATGACTCTGGGGCGGGCTGATTTTGACCCCAGGGCTATAATTTGAACAATCTGGGTAGAGGTCTACCAGACAATGCCTTATGCAAAATATCTAAGCTCTAAGCCTTTTGGGTCTTTACAAGAAGGTGTTTTAAGTTTTTACTATATGTAAATATAGCGAAAATCAATGACCCCGGGGCGGGGCCGATGTTGACCCAAGGGCTATAATTTGAACAATCTTTGTAAGGGTCTACCAGATGATGCCTTATGCAAAATATCTAAGCTCTATGCCTTTTGGGTTTTTACAAGAAGGTATTTTAAGTTTTTACTATATGTACATTGTGAAAATCAATGACCCCCGGGGCGGGGCCAATTTTGACCCCAGGGCTATAATTTGAACAATCTTGTTAGAGGTCTACCAGACAATGCCTTATGCAAAATATCTAAGCTCTAGGCCTTTTGGGTCTTTACAAGAAGATTTTTTAAATTTATTCTTATAATTCCTTTTGGTTGCCATGGCAACCAGATTTCTGCATGAAATGAAATTCTTTGAACAACTTTGGAAGCCCTTCACCCAAGGAACAATCCTGCCAAGTTTGGTTGAAATTGGACTAGTGGTTTTTCACAAGAAGATTTTTAAGTTCACTATATAATCTTTATAACACACACACAAACACACACGCACGCACACACATACACACAGGTGAATCGCTATATGCCACCACAGGTGCTAGTTGCATTGATTTGACCTAAAATGTGTTTGACCTTGTTATTTATACAATAAAATATCAATATATTAAAAAAAAAAAAAAAAAAAAAAATTTTCACTGTTATATTATTATAGACAAGGTATGCAACATTCAGGTACGAAAATTATGGGTACGCCGGTTATCTGTGTTAAATTTTTTCACCGGGCGGTAATATCGTCGGGTTTTTGCATGGAATCAATGCACAATATATTTTTCTATTACAATTTACTATTTACAGATCCCCAATTAACCACTTGTTAATGTTTTAAAGCCCGAAAGTAAGAAATCACCCAGGTCCGAAAGATGAGACCGTCATGACATGTACATTGTAAGCTGGTATTTACGCTTGAAATACATCAACAAAGAGATCAAACGGGTCGAACTCACATGCAAACAACTGGATTTTACATACTTTTAAATGGTTTTATCCTCCACGAGTCAAACTTAGTCCTATGTGCCCGTATTTTAAGAAAAATTCTACATTTATAAGGTAATTCCTAAATCGGAAGTGTTCTTCCGCAACACGTGCTTGGTTCCCTGTTTCGGTCTTTGTCAATGTATGTGAAACGGAAGCCGGAGAATACTTCCGGTGGGTATTACCTTCTAAAAATATCGTCTACATGTAGGATATTTCTTTAAATACAGGCTCATAGGACTAAGTTTGACTCGTGGAGGATAAAACCATTTAAAAGTATGTAAAATCCAGTTGTTTGCATGTGAGTTCGACCCGTTTGATCTCTTTGTTGATGTATTTCAAGCGTAAATACCAGCTTACAATGTACATGTCATGACGGTCTCATCTTTCGGACCTGGGTGATTTCTTACTTTCGGGCTTTAAAACATTAACTAGCGGTTAATTGGGGATCTGTAAATAGTGAATTGTAATAGAAAAATATATTGTGCATTGATTCCATGCAAAAATCCGACGATATTACCGCCCGGTGAAAAGTTTTAACACAGATAACCGGCGTACCCATAATTTTCGTACCTGAATGTTGCATACCTTGTCTATAATAATATAACAGTGAAAAAATTTTTTTTTTTTTTTAATATATTGATATTTTATTGTATAAATAACAAGGTCAAACACATTTTAGGTCAAATCAATGCAACTAGCACCTGTGGTGAGGTCGCTAAAAAGTTTGTGCAAAATTTAGGTCAATTAATACATAAATGGTGTATGGTTCATTGGTTATATCACAGGAGCTTGAAATTCTATCAATAATCGCTGAAAA